GAGTCGCGGGCTGTGTGTGAAACAAGGTCAGCGTCGAGCCACATCATTAGTCACACCAGAACACTTTCTTACAGTCGCCAAAGAAAAGAAAACACAAAGAGTCGATCTATTCAACAGGAAGTGTCGCTCTGAAAGTGCCTGACTCTGTTACCCCCCAGGGAGGGACGTGCTTCTTGTGGTGCGGACGTCAGTTTCCTCTCCCCTACGAGATCTGTTCCTGTTTTCTCTAGCATCACAACTGATCTCTTGTGCGTGTCTGTCAGACTCAAAAAGCCGTGTATCCTACTAACCCAGGTGTCACAATGGTCGTGTAACTGCCAACCAGGGCGACACACAACCCCCTTCCACTTGCACGTACCGTCACTTTTCCCCGATCAAAATTAAAAACATAGCCTTGTCAGTGGAAGTGACTTTCGCAATGGGTCGACAATCAGCATCCATTTCGTTGGCGGTTGTTGGTGATCTCGAGCATCTTGTTTCGACAGTTATCAGTGGTTAAAATAAGAAACAACCACAGTAGGCGGAGCTTAAACATGTCAACTGCAGATCTTCCATCACCTGCTCGTTGTGGCCTTAATGCCGAGCAGATGTCAGGAATTACAGAGGAAGGCAATGGTAAGGGCACAACACATTTTTATTTAAAGACTTAACGTTTTTGCTGTCTCGTCGTCTTTTCAATACTTTGACTTTTGAACAGCCTTTATAACAGCAAACAGAAAGCTCTTTATTGGTTTCAGCCTTTGGGATCATTGAGACAATCATAACTTTGTTAGTGTCATCCATTGATGGACTTTTTAAGCACATTAAATTAATCCACACTGGTTAAACATCAAACAACTTCCTGTTCAGTCGTTGACAGAACTTGATTTGTGCTTTTTGTCCTTTACTCATGCAGGGCTAATTAATATAACTGCCTTAAACAGGTCGCACGACAACGAACTGTTTAAAGACACAGAAAGCAGTTTGGACTAGTGCCAGTCTCATCTGCTGCTGTATGTTACAGGAACAATGTTTATTGGGGCGGCAGTGGTTAGAGTGGTCGTCCTCCAATTGGGGAGTTGGGGGTTTGATTCCACCAGCAGTCACATGCCAACGTGTCCCTGGGCAAGACACTGAACTCCTCATTGCCTTCGATGTGTCTGTGTATGAATGGGAGGGCACTGATTGTAGTGTATGTCACTTTGATGAGATAGAAAAGTACAGTCCATTTATGCTTTTTCCTTAAAAACTTAGTGTTCGTGTGTTGGGACGTGCAGTGAAATGGTTTACTCGCACCATTTGCAGAAAAACCCTCTAATGAAATGAACTGTTGCTGCTGACTGACTGTATATTCACCGATCCATTGGAAAAATGTGCAGAGGGGTGGATGTATTCTGACTGCAAAGCTGAGCTCACCTCTGACCATAGTTTCCACTTTATAATCCTTTCAAAATAAAGTACTATTGCAGGAACAGAAACTGGTACACTTTGTAATTTTTTTTCCCACAATAATAACAAATCACTGCTCATCCGTAGTATCAAGTGCACATGGCTGCCAGTCTGAACAAAGATGACTTATTGTTTGTACATTATACTTTTATTTTTTTGTTTACAATAGTCGGGGAGGTCCCGTGTATGTGAGTGCTACTGTTTATTTTTAAGCATATTGTTAAAAAGTTAGTGCTGAAACAGCTACCTTTTTAAAGAAGAGAGAATGGAAAGGTTAGCTCGGCTCGTTCTCCACGGAGAGCGAGTTTTCTTGCGTCCTCGTTTGACCCGAGCGTGCTGCTTCGTACAGTATCTCAAAAATTCAGCGTGTGCGTGTGTTTAAAAGCAGGCGTGATGAAGCTGGCCCGCACCGCCGGTTGGGAAAGGCGCACGCTGACGTCCGTCCACGCGCAAACAAACTAACACCCGTACAGGCAGAGTCGGGGGAGGACAGATGCAGGGGCTGGCTCTTCCTCTGTGTGCGTGAGAGGAAAAAAATGCTCGGTGTTTCCTACAGAACACGATCTCTATCTGCGACCGATTACGTAACGGCCAAATGGAGAACGAAGCGAGGGAGGACGGAACGAGACGGAGAAAAGTCCAAGCATGGCTCCCTCGCTCCACTTCCTGTTCATTGCTTCTTCTCCCCAGCTTATGTGCACGCTTCTTGTCCAACAGCCTCACGGTCTCTTTAAAGGAAAACTGTCTCTGGCCACGTGGTGTTCCTCCTGGTCGATCCGGCGTCGGCTGTCCACGACAGTTTGTGTTGGCAGCGCTGATCGACATCACGAGGCGACATAAAAGCCGACGTGAGGGTTAAAGCAGAATCAGCGCTCTGCTCTGCAGATATTATTTGCAGTGTGTGTGTTGGTGTCACTGCCGGCCTGCGTGTGTGTGTGTATGCTGGTGTGGCTGAAGTTCAGCTCAGTCCAGTGGTTGGAGGCTGAAAACAGCACTGAGTCATTTCTATTTAACCGTTTGCTTCCTTCTGCTCGTTACGATGGCTACACGAGCCTCACTGCGCAAACCTGCCATTCATGTGTCATTTGTTTTGGCATTTACCGTCTGTCTGTTAGTGAAATATCTTGTGAACTACTGGACGTGTTCGAATGAAACTCTCAGGAGGTAATCATTGCATCAGTAGCCACAGCTGACCTCGACCTTTGCAAACAAAGAAACAGCTGTAGCTCGGTCAGTTTTACAGATGTTGAGCTAAAATTTGGTGTGGTGGTAGCTGAGAGTGATCTGCAATACACACTTTGAGCAGTGGATTACTGTGAGGGATCTTTAACATCAAAGGCAATGAGCACAATGCATGAGGAACGCTAGTCTTTGATCTTTGTTTATCTTGCGTACGTATGACTTTCTATTTCTCTTTTTGGTTACAGGAGCTCGTTGCGTTTCTCGCCACCTGCTCTGGGGAAAGTCACATAACTGACGGGGTGGGCGTTGACAGGAACAGCCCTTTGATGTCTGGTTTTATACTGGGGTGGGGACATTTCTAATAAATTACACGTTAATCATCTGTTTGTATGAGCGCGCAGAAGAAAGAGGCGATAACTTTCTCTTGTTTGTTTTAAATGAACTTGGACGTCGCAGACGTGCAACTACTTGTGGTTTTGGGGAGGTAAAAGCGAAAGCTGTGAGTTGTTTTTTTTTTTGACACGCAAACAACTCGAGCAAACGATTCAAAGAATCGCCAGCGTTTGTTTTGAAGTTGCGGTTTGTCCGCTCGGTTTCTCTTGAAGCGCCGTGAACACCCCCCAACTCGAGCTCGTCACGTCCTCTTTGTGTGTCTGCATCACCTCGTGTTACGAATAAAGCAGAAATGACATCACGCAGATCGGGGAAAAAAAAAAAAAAATTCCCACCGCCGTCGCATCAGCGTTGAAGCAGAAACGCCCACGGTCACCTGACTGTAAGCGGGGTCCCGAGGGGCGGAGTTTAGAGGCGCTCGGGGAAGCCCGTTTCCTCCGCGCTGAGTCATCGGTGGTGGAGGGATTCCCCGAAAAATTCACCGTGCAATGTTCGCACAAACACACTGGTTCTCCTGTAGGTGGTGTCGCTGCCTTAACATCTGATATGGCCACCTGAGCTGCATCCTGTATATGTGTGTGTGCCAGAATTTCACACACGCTACAGTAACCATGAGAGCTCCAGTGTAACCATGAGAGCTCCAGTGTAACCA